CTACTGAAATGTACTCCTAGATCTAGAATTTTTTTCTTTCTAGAATTTTGTACCATTTATTTATTTGTTTGTTTGTTTATTTGATTTTTCGAGACAGGGTTTCTCCGTAGCTTTTGGTTCCTGTCCTGGAACTAGCTCTGTAGACCAGGCTGGTCTCGAACTCACAGAGATCCACCTGCCTCTGCCTCCTGAGTGCTGGGATTAAAGGCGTGCGCCACCATCGCCCGGCTCAGGCTTGTTTTTTTTTTCTTTATTTTTTTTTAAGACAAGATCTCATGCAGCTAAATTTGGCATCCGACTTGCTGTCTAATTGAGGATGATCTTGAACTCCTGATTTTCTTGCCTCCACTCCCAAGTGCTGGGATTCCAGGTATGTACCCCATGCCTGGCTTTAGAACATCTTACTTCTATCTAACTGTAACTTAGTACCCAAGTTATTGGCCTTTCCCCATCCCTGCTCCCACTTCTAATGCACATTAAGTATCACCCATTAAGTGTTGAAATAAGAGCGGCAGGGCTGCGTCCCCAACACCCCGGCCGCTTGGCTAGCTCATGCCCGAAATAACAACACACAAACTGCTTGTTCATTTAAGAACTGCTTGGCCCATGAACTCTAGCCCTTACAGGCTAATTCTCGCACCTGGACTAGCCCATTTCTAACGATGTGTGTAAGCACCCCAAGGTGCGCTTACCGGGAAGATTCTAGCCTCCGTCCATCATGGTGTCTCTGCTCCAGATAGCAGAGCTGTCCGGTCTCTCCGGGAGCAGAGCAGAGTCTGACCTCACTTCCTCTTCCGCCCAGAATTCTATTCTGTTTATTCCGCCCACCTATGTTCTAAGCTATGAGGGCCAGCCAAGCAGTTTCTTTATTGCTCAGCCAATGAAATCAACAGATTGATATGACACTCCCACATCAATTAAGAAACAAGGATAGTCAGGCGGTGGTGGCACGTGCCTTTAATCCCAGCACCCGAGAGGCAGAGGCAGGCGGATCTCTGTGAGTTTGAGGCCAATCTGGTCTACAAGAGCTAGTGCCAGGACATAGTTCAAAGCTACAGAGAAGGGGCTGGAGAGATGGCTCAGCGGTTAAGAGCACTGTCTATTCTTTCAGAAGACCCAGGTTCAATTTCCAGCACCCACATGACAGCTAACTCCAGCTTCTGGGGATCTGATACCTTCACACCAATCCACATAAAATAAAGTTAAATAAGTTATTAAAAAAAAACCAAAGCTACAGAGAAACCTTGTCTCAAAAAATAGAACAATAGAAGGAAGGAAAGAAAGAAAGATGGGTAGGCTAGGCAAGGTGGTTCATGCCCATAACCCCAGCATTCAAATAGAGACAGGAGGGTCAGAATGTCATGGTCAGGATGGAGAGATGGCTCAACAGTAAAGAGCACTCACTGCTCCTCAGAGGGCCTGAGTTCAGTTTCCAGTATTCACTTTTACAGCCTGTAACTCCAGTTCCAGGGGATTCAACACTCTTCTGGCCTCTGAGGACATCTGTACCCATGTGGCATACACTCACACAGTTACATACACACATACATAAAAATAAAGATTTAAAAATTCAATGTTATAATTACATTACATTCTTTTTTAAAATATTTATTTATATGTACACAATATTCTGCCTGAAGACCAGAAGAGGACACCAGACCCCATTACAGATGGTTGTGAGCCAACCAAGTGGTTGCTGGGAATTGAACTCAGGACCTTTGGAAGAACAGGCAATGCTCTTAACCTCTGAGCCATCTCTCCAGCCCTATATTACATTCTTAAAATGTTCATGGTCGTAGGGGCTTTGCACTCATGATCTCATCTAATCCTAATCCCTTCCTCAAGGCCCCACCTCTAAATACTGTGCTGGGATTGCATTTCCGCCTACCTTCTCAATACCTCCCAAACGGGACAGCATTTCAGCCGAAGGTTTTGGATGACACCAACCACAGCAAATAGCATCCTGAGACCTGTCACTCTACTCGGGAGCACTAAGTGCTTCCATCACTCTCTGCTCCAAATTCCTTCTCCCTAGCTGAAGGCAGAGTGACCTTTTCAAATTGCAAATGGGTTCCTGTCACTTCCGCACTCTGAGCGCATCAACAACTCCTCACCATCTAAGGGACCATGTCTCCAACAGACTCCGGTGACACCGCATTGGGATGCCATGGTGTCCTTTCCAGAACTGTTGGGGACTTCTGTGAGCGGGAAATAGGCCTACATGATGTGTGTGTGCGCGGTATGAAATCATAGCCACAAGCCCAGATGCCCATCAAAAGATAAACTGTTGAATTAAGCATGATCGGTGATGGAATTGCCTCTTTAATATTCATTCGCTACTCATTCGTTCATTTTGTTGCTTGCTGACTGATGAGCAGGAACATCTGTCAAAGATTTAGGGAAGATTTACAGTTTAAAAAATTTAAAAGAAAAAAGAAAATGCTACCCATTAACTTTTTTTTCATTTACTCAATGAGCATCCCATTTGTGCTAGCCACAATTTCAGACACTGACTGGGCGGTGTCCTTAGACAGTGCAGCTTGAGCAAAAAGCCCAAGCAATTTACTGCCACTAACCCAGCTCTTCCAGACCCGGTCCCATCTCATCTTGCAGTCTCTGTAGTCAGTGGCTCCTTGTCCCACCCTTTCTGCCTGAGAGCTGCAGTTTCTTAAATGCGCTCTTCCTCTTTTTATCTATTTATTTCTTTTCTTTGCAGCACTGAGACTAAAACCCAGGGCCTCCTGCGTGCCAACACCGAGATATACCCACTATCTGGACTCCTTCCTTCCGTTCTTTTTATATTAGTTCATATGCGTGTGCAGATACGCTTGTGCCACAGCACACCTGTGGAGGTCAGAGGACAACTCTCAGGAGTCTGTTCTCTCTTATGAGTTCATGGAATTCAGGAATCAAACTCGGGTCATTAGTGCCTCTACCTGTGAGGCCACTGATCTGACTTCCTTATTTATAGTATCCTTCTTGAAAAGGGATGTGTGTGTGTGTGTGTGTGTGTGTGTGTGTGTGTGTGGTGTAGTCTCTTCATGCTGGTGTGTGTGTGTGGAGATCAGAGGACAAAATTCTGCACTTGGTTCCCTCCTTCTACTATGTGGATCCTAGGATTGGACTCAGAATTCAAGGAGCCTTCCTTTATCTGCCGAGCCATCTTTGCAAGCCCTCTTCTTCTTATTATGGTCTGGGATAGGGTGTGATGTAACACAGGCTGGCCTTGAACTCACTAGTAGCTGAGGATGATCTTGAACTTCTGATCCTCCTGCCTCCACCTTCCAAGTGTTGGGACTTACAAGCGCAAGCCACCATGCCTTTTTTTTTTTTTTTGCAGTGCTGGGGACTAGAACTCAGGGCTTTGTGTTTGCTATGCAAGCGCTCTACCAACTGACCTACATTCTAAGTCCCAGACTGCATTCCTTATGACTTACCAGACAGCTCGGAGGCTGATGGACAAAGGTCACATATTGAGAGCCAGTGACCTAAAGTAAAACCAGGAGTAGCAGGCGACAATGCACAAAGGAATCCTTAGTTCATCCTGACTCAGCCTCTTAACTTCTACCCGCCCCCCCCTCGCCCCCGAATCTCTCTTTCTTTCTTCCAAAAGAGACAGAATCTTAGGCTGGCCTCAAACACATATTCACCTATCTCTGCCTCCTGAGTGCTGGAATTAAAGGTGTGTACCACCATGCCTAACTTCTTTGTTTTTGCTTTTCCAAATAGGCTTTCTCTGTGTAACCCTGGCTGTCCTAGAACTCACTACGTAGACCAGGCGGGCCTTGAACTCATAAGAGACCTGACTGCCTCTGCCTCCTGATTGCTGGGATCGAAGGCATGCGCCACCACTGCTCGGCTTCCAGCTTTTAACTGATTTTCTAATGCAGTTGGTGCTGTCTTGACCACTTTGTTTTTGCTTCCTTCTCCAACTTCCTGATCTTAGATCATTCTGAATGCTTTTCTTCTTACCTGAGGCCAATTCTGCTGGCTTTCATTTTCTCCTCTCATAAAGCCTCAGTTTCAGGATAATGGTGTTTCCTGAGCTTTTGGCTGCATGGCACGGTTATGCGCTCCCCCCACCCCCGCATCTTATCCGGTATTAGCACCCCACCTCATCCGTCACAGTGATCTCTGTAAAGCTTGACTGTAAATGTTGGCTCCAATTAGGAGCCATTCCTACCTAACAGGCGAGCCATTTCCCCTCTCAGGCAGAAGACTGTGGCTTCACAGACATTAACAGTCACCTGCTGACCCTAAGGAAGTTGTGGCTTGCTCCAGCTTCCTTCAGGAAAGTAGAAATGTGAGAATAACTCATTTACACTTCTCTGTTAATTTCTTTACTCAGCAACCATTGACTAAGCACCTGCCAGAAACTGTGCTGTGCGGGGCCTTGGTAGCCAGGGTGCCACAAAGATGCCCCATTAGATATGTACATATGTTCGTGGTAGTGCTTACGAGTCCAGAAATTCCTCTTCATAAAGTCTCCCCCTCTTCCTCTTCCTCCTCCTTGTCCTTCTTCTTTTAAAAAATTAAGACAGAATCTCACTGAGGCCAAGCTAGCCTTGAACTTAACTTGTAGCTAGAATAACCTTCCTTCCACTTCTGGAGTGCGGCAAGCACAGGCAGGCTAGGATTATAGCACAGTTGAGATGCACGCTGCTGGGACCCAGATCCAAGGCTTCCTGTATTCCAGGCAAGTGGTCTACCGGTCAATTGAGTGGCCGTTCTCCTCCCCTAACCTCTGATTTTTTTTTAGTCTTATCCCCTGAAGTTCTTTTTCCTATCGTGAAAGATGGAGAAGAGGAATAAAATTACTAACTGAGGCCCTCTGCTATCTCCTTTCAGCCTTTCTGCCTGTCCTGTGCCTTATAAGGTGACCAGCACCGAAGACTGGGAGGCCTGGGAGGCCTGGGAGGCACAGGCCTCAGCAGTTCCCAAAGCTCTGGAGTACTGAGTGTTCTTTGTAGGGATGGATAGCAGGTAAGTAAGGAAGGAACAAAGGCATTGCAGGAGACTTGAATTACACACTATCCCAGGCTGGGAGGTCCAGGACTGTAGAGAGACCTCGTTAGGGCTCTGATAGCCTCTGGGGACAGGAAGCTGAGTGTGACACATGCTTAGCTCACCAAGGTATCTGTGCTGAAGTGTCCCCAGTGCTGTGAGCTAGATAGTATGTGGGGTGTGTGTTGGGGTAGAGGCCGGTAGGACTCCTGGGGAGCCCCACAATCCCATTTTGGCCTCCTGCTCAACCATCCTGGCAACAGCTCTTATGGAACCCAGTAGGAGCGGGGAGGGGAGGGGCAGAAGATTTGGTCACCAAGGGGAGCCCCGCCCCCTTCACAGAGGTGGCCAAGGCTGGGGTTGCAGAAAGACCTGGAACTGGGCTGGCCCTAGGGGAAGGCAATGCCGCCAAAAACAGTGCTTGGCCTGGGCCTTTGTCGTGTGCGCCGCGACACTCCAGCCTTTCTTAGGGACGGCTCAAGTACTGCCTACTGGAGGCCTAGCCTTGAAGTAGCCAAGACCTCTGATTCCCCACCCCCATCGGGTTGAGGCCCAAGCCTTAAAGCAGTTCCTCAATTTTAGCCTTGGTTTTATGTGTTTGTGCTATAACCAGTCCAGGGCCTAACCGTTCCCCAAGTGTTCCTGAGGGTCTCAGGAACTACAGCTGTTCCTCTTCCTTGTTCCTGTCACCCACCCTGTGGGTCTCTGATTGTGCCAGGCCCTTCTCTTTGGTCCACTCTCTTGAGTCTCTAGAAGGATGATGGAGTACAACAGTCACCTCCCCGCTGAATACTTAGTTCTTCATGGCTGCCCCTCCTGCCACCTTCTCTGTACGCCACTCTCCTCTGCTCTGGAGTCACTGAATGGAATAGCACATTAGGCACTGGGGACACGTTTCATAGAGCCCTTGTTGTCAAGGTGTGTGACATAAAGAGTTCCCCGAGAGGACCTGAGAAAAGTTCACTGCCAGGCTGAATGAAGGACCAGGGAGTTCTTTTGTGGTTACATTGGTTCCCTGCCTCCTTTCTCCCCATATTTTCTAGGCTTGGTCTTTGTGTGAGATCCCTCTCCTAGGTTCGTTCTCTCTCTCTCTCTCTCTCTCTCTCTCTCTCTCTCTCTCTCTCACTGACTTCAAAAGAGAGAGACCTAAGATCCTATGATTTTGAGGAATAGGGTGTCCCTCTTGGGCCTCTGACAAGCCATATCATGCCAAGTTCATCAATCACAGGGAGCCATCAAAGAGGCGATCCCAAGACAGAGAGGTCTGGGGAGGTGGGAAAACCTGCTAGCAATCACAGCTGGCTCTAAGGAAAAGGGGAGCAGCCAGACATAGTTCTAGATTCTGGAAGTTATGTGCTCTGTTCCAGGTAGGTCATGTGGTCCTGGGCTGAATCTGGATTGAGGAGCAATTGGAGCTGGACAGAACACCCCTCCTGTAACTCCATCTGGCTCAACAGAGCTAGAGACCTCCAGTTCCCACCCTGAGACTCCCTTCTGGCTCCCTACCCTAGAAGGTTGAATGCTCTGCCTCCCTGTTTACCCTGCTCACACTGAGGGCAGGGACCAGAGGGGAACCAGTGAGGTCAGTTCTTATTAGGTACAGTAGTGGGGAGCCAGGCTCCACCCCACGGAAATTATAGCCTCCTGCGACCACGGCTTGGGAACCTCAGGACAGGAAAGACGTCCTCTACAAGCAATAGGTCAGTTGTGGGGCTGCAGTGCGGCTCCCCCATTAAAGCTCCATTTCTGAGCTTGAATGTGGTGGCGCTGCAGGTGCTGCAACCCCTGCCCTGCTGCCCGCCCCCCCCCCCGCGCCCCAACCTTCCCGGGCCAAGAAGATAACTTGGTTAGTTAGGATGGACTACAGTGAAGCATTGAGACTCCAGAGGCCAGTGCCCCCATCCAAGTACCTGGGGTTCTCAGTGGGGAGCATGAAAGGTTATGGGGGCTGGGAAAAGAGAGGGGAGGACTGCAGATCTCAGCTTGGGAGCAGAGCGGGGGAAGGGCCGGGACTCCCTTCCAGCCTCGAGTCTGGGGGCTCAGGGATATAAGGGAGAACAGGGGTGTGTGTGTGTGTGTGTGTGTGTGTGTGTGTGTGTGTGTGACAATTCAGCAGAGGTCGGGACGTACCACGGAGCCCAGTAGCGGCAGGGAGGGGGGGCGGAGGACGTGGTCACCGAGGGGAGCCCCCGCCCCCTTCACGGAGGCCGAGGCTGGGGTTGCAGAGAGAACTGGAACTGGGCTCGCCCTAGGGGAAGGTAGCGCGGCCAATCCGTCCCCTCCCCACACCCTACTCCAAGGGGGTGGGCGATAGAGAAGAGGTTGGGGTTGGAGCAGCGGTGAGGGGGCCCCTCCCTGGCACCTCCCCCCACCAGACTTGGTCGCGCCCGAAGTGTAACACTTTCTCTTTGTCGGAGGAGCTCCTCTGTTTCCTGTGCAGCAGCTCCCGTTGCGGAGGCACCCGTAGCAGCCCTGGCGGACGAAGGAGCGATGGCAGCGGCCGATATAGCTCGCCAGGTGGTGAGTGCAGGGCTTGGGTACCAGCCCCCAGCCTGGGAGGTGAGGTGGGGGGCTTGGGACGGCTGAGCAGACTTGGCCACAGCCACCACCACTACCACGAGGAGGGCAGTAGGGGCAAGAACCAGAGGCAAGGCGGGACTTTTGCCCTGGGGTCAGCAGCTTAGTCCCCTCTGTCCCCAACACGTCCTGGAGACCTGTGGTGGCAAGAGGGTGGGAGGGCAACTGGCAAAGCCTACTGGCGGGCAGCTGAACTTGCATAGCGGGAGAGAGCTGCAGTGAGCGCCTCCACCTCCCTTGCGGCAGCTGTGGCCCCGCTGCTGGGGCGTTGCCGAATGAATGGCCGCATGAGTACCGAGCCCTCGGGTCCCTGTCCCCTTAGTTTGGCGGCACCCCTGAGCACAGATGCCTGCTGGGACTCCAGCTTGCTCAGAAAGCGGGTTGCGGAGCTGGGGGTAGCCTGGGACCAAAGGTTGAGTGTGGTGAGGGGGCGGGGAGATGAATGACTGGAGTAGGGTTTCTCCATATGCATTACATATGTGACTGCCTCTGTGTGTGTATCAGTGTGTGCTCATATATATGTGCATGGGCGCCCTTCCGCCTTCCCCGTGGCAGGGTTATGTGACCCTGAAGGAGTCGGCCCGTTTCTCTGTGCACACCTATGGTGTGTGTTCCTGCGTCCAAATGCCTCTGTGTCCACTTGTGCTGAGTCCCGCAGGGTCCAATTTGTGCGTCTGTGGAAGTGAGGGGTGCACTTCACCCGGCCCGTGGGTGGCTGGCTGTATATTTTGGCACGTTTCCGAGTGGTTCTCTGAGGGTCGGTCTTGGGTTCAGTGTGCATGGGCTTGTGTGCTCAAACCTGTTGGAGCTGACATCTTTCTGTAGAGACTGAGGAAAATAGCGTGAGACCTGCAGAAGTAGTGTTCCCTCTCTTTTGGTGGCACCAACTCTGGGTAAAAAAAAAATCATTTTAAAAACTAAAGTTTTCCAGCCTGGGATGTGCAGAGAAGTCATACCCAAGAACCGGAGGCTCCATGTTTGTTTGTTTTTAGATCAGAAGTTTGGTTACAAAGGAAGATGTTTCCATTTGTGGGAACAGTCTAGTTTTTCTATTCCACCAGCACCATAAGCTGAAGCAGAATGGGGTCGAAGTAGGGCAAGCATAGCCCACTACCCCGAATACTACCGGATGAAAAATGATAACCTTGTAACCTCACATTTCCTTAGAGACCTGGCTGTGCAATGCGACGCCAGTAGAAACGCGGGAGAAGGAAGCAGCCTCTAGGTATTTGGTATAATTGCAATTGATTTGTTTTCTAAATCCGAATCCAGAATCGGATAGCATTTTCTCTCCAGATAAAGAAATTTCCTGTCTGGCTTTGGAAGGTCAGGGTCATTTATTTGAGACCTTCTCTAGCCCTTGTACGCCCCAGCTCAGAGCCGGCTTGTCGTGCAGTCATGAGGTGAAGGGCAGAGGCAGAGAAGAGACTATTCTCGATGGCGCTGGGATTGGAGAGATTGTAATATTGTAATATTTTGAGGACAACCAGGGCAATTTTCTTATCTGCATTTTAAAGATGCCGTAGGTTTTGAGGAGATGGATCCGTTTCCCGGATTACACTTGTTCTATCCTTAGTGACCCCCCCAATGACACTAGTGATTTTCCTTCTTGTCATAATGAATTTGCATCGACCTGCCCTCCCCACTTTCCCTTTCCTGGATTAGGATTGCAAGGCCTGTGCTGGCAAGGGGAACATTTCAGAAGGCTGCTTCACCTTTGTTTTGCAAATGGGGGTGCAGTAAGGGGTGGCTTTGGGAGGTTCCAGTTTTCTCTGGCTGGCCTTACCACATTGTATACGGAAAAACATAATTGCATGGAGAATTCGGAAGAGGCCCAAGCACTTGAGACTTTGTTATCATGCTAAATGGGTTTGGGGGAAGACTGACGTCACTCTCCATGGCTCCCTCCCCCAAGCCAGTGAAGCTCTTATTTATGTGTCATTTCTCTCTGCTTTCCTCTGAGTCTGCAAGAGGTTGTAATTCACCAGGGGAGGCTGGAATTAACTCAGGAGACTTTGAGTGGCTGGTTGCTTTTGGTTTCTTCAGAGGAATATGCGGCTAGGACTGGGGAAGAGACGACTAGAGAGCCAGGCTACCTGTGGCAAGCTTAGAAGTTCTCAGTAGACTCGGAGGCATGATGCCATGGGAGTAGCGTCTTGGTGTGTATGTCAGGGTGTCTTCACAGAGTCACTGGAGGGTCACTGTGGCCGACTATCATTAGGAAAATGGCATAGGAGTTATTGTGTAGGGCTTACATTTGGGTGTGCGTGCGTTTTGGAAGTTCCTAACTCAGGTGCCTCCCATCTGAATGAACACCACAAAGGATTCTGGGTGACAACACTATTTTTCCACCATTGCTATGAATACCTGTTTGACTGATGTGCACAACTATGGCCAGCCCTTATTAACCGTATCAGAAAAGTAACAGCTATTGTTCATGACTTTCCAACTTCCAGCCTAGTTGGAGATGCAAACTGTGGATACTGATAGAATTCAAGAAGTAGTAGAAGAGCCTTGGGGTGCTTCCACCTGTGAGGGGACTTGGACTGCCATTGTTTTGTGTTTCGAGAGGCTGCATGACTGACTCATCCAGGGTGACCTAGGAAGGCACAGCGCGGTCACCGAAAGCTCTGTCTACTGGCTTTCATTCAGTATTGCATTTTCCGTTCAGCCTGTCAGGACTGTGCTTTCCAAAGTAGAGCGCGCTTGAGTCCTACTTGAACAAATCCCACCCACAATGTGGACAGCGCTGCCTTTTCCAGTTATAGTCCATTAAGCCCTTGCCTCTAATGAAAGCTTGTAAGGACTACAAGAGTTGTCTTTGCCAGGATTGGCCTGGAGGAGCTGTCCTCAAGTTACCACCCGCCATTGAGGAGAAGCCTGCTTTTGCGTTCCAGCCTTACAATCGGAGTAACAGTTATCCACAACTGTTATCCAAAATCAAAAATTGTTTTGAGACAGACTTTCACCTGTTAACCGAGGTTAGTCTGGAACTTCTGCCTGGGGTGCTTTGGATAACAGTTACCTCGTGGTTTTCCTCTTGACGCTCTTCCTTAATCCCTAAAAGTAATAATTGTACTCCAGAAAAAGAAAACCAAACCCCATAGAGCTACCTGAAGCTATAGTGCTGACTTAAGTTTATATGGCCCCAAACAGTGAAAAACTATTGATTCCAAGTCAAGGGAATAGGGGGTAATTTATTATACAGTTTCCCGACTGTTTAGTGCCTCTAAGATTTGTCAGAAACATTAGAGGAACTGGGCCTGGGCGGTGGTGGTGCACACCTTTAATCCAGCACTCGAGAGACAGAGGCAGGTGCATCTCTGTGAGTCTGAGGCCAGCCTGATGTACATAGTGAGTTCCAAGACAGCCAGAGTTATATAGTGAGACCCTGTGTGTAAAAAAAATATGAAAGGCGTGTACAGTGCCAGCTGAAAGACCTCGTCCTGTAATGGAGTTCCCAGTCCAATGGTGAAAGCAGACACATATCTTTATGGAGGGCTGAGAGGGCTCAGTGGGGAAAAAAAACAAAATGAAACAAAAACCACTTACCATGGAAGCCTGACCTGTTGGGTGATTTCTAGACTCAACACAACCTTCTGACCTCCGCACACATGCCGTGGCCTGCGAATCCCCACCTGCATCCTGCATACACACACACTTACACAATAATAAAGTTTTGTTTTGTTTTGTTTTTTGGATATTCGAGACAGGGTTTCTCGGTAGCTTTTGGTTCCTGTCCTGGAACTAGCTCTTCTAGACCAGGCTGGCCTCGAACTCACAGAGATCCACCTGCCTCTGCCTCCCGAGTGCTGGGATTAAAGGTGTGCGCCACCACTGCCCGGCAATAATCAAGTTTTTTAAATCCCTATTTAATTATCATTATCCTAAGTGCTAAAGAGGAGAGCCAGTGCCTGCCATGGGAAGTCATTATAGGGGACCTAATTCAGCTATGGATGAAAGCTGGAAGCGAGAGGAGAGACTTCCTGAGGGCTTCTGGATAGGAAACGGGTAGGTGTGAAGATGGGTGAGATCACACTTCTGCCACTTGCTTGGGAACAGTTCCTTTGTCAACTCACCCACTGCTGTTTTCATTCATTCTTCAACATTTACTGACCAGGCACTGATTCTGCCAGGTCCTGTGCCAAGTGCTGGGGATGTAGTGGTGACCAAGGCACGGAGGACCTCTGCCCCTTCTCAGAGCTGCCAGATGAGGCAGGAATGAGCCCGGTTTCCTCTTGACATTTTAAATGCAGGAAATGTGTTGGTGGTGTATTTATTACAAAACTTCATTATCGTAGACTAATAGGTTTGTAGAATGCAATGAGAATTTGATCGGCAGTCAGATGCATAGCATTTCCTTTGTGGAGTGTCTGATATAAATATGCTATTAATTGCTGGCTTCGTTACTGATATGGTCCTACACCTTGTGTTCTGTAAGGGAACAACCCAATTGCTTTAACTTGGACAAAACTAATTAGGAAAGTTTGTCTGTTGTGGGGGGAAAGCGCTGTTATAAAATTAAATGGCCCTGGTTTGCAGACTTGCTGAGATTTCTAGATTGTCAAAGCCATGCCTTAATATTAACAGGAACAGTCGAGAAAGTCCTTATTTGTGTGTGCATTGAAACTGCACATGAGACCCATGGAAAGAAGGAAAGGGGATGAGGAAGAGAGGGAGGAGGGAGGGGGAGGAAGCAAACAGAAGAAAGCCTTGCCTAGATTTAACTTGCTTAGCTCTCTGGAAATGCTTCCATCTGTTTGGTTTTCTTCCCCCAACAACTTCCTGATCTCTTCATGTTATACCTGCAGCAAGCAAGAGACTTAATCCAAAGTGTAATTGCTGATCAGTGGATAAACAATGAACCACCCACCAGATTACACAGACTCCTTCTTTAAAGGTACTAGCCTTTCCAAGGTGTTTCTAAGAAATAAAAATTCTGCCACGTCCTCATTTCCCCCTCTTCTCCTTGCATCCGCCAACATCCTCAAAGCGGTCAGAGAAAAGCAGACTTGAGTGATGTGGAGACTCTCTGATGTTAAAAAGATTCTCAGCTTAAATCCAAGATAGCACAGTCACGGGTTGTGTGGGTTTTCTTTTTTTTTTTCTCTCTCTCTCTCTTTCCATATTGCTTTAAATAAAAATCTTGGAGCCACCAGCCATGTAATGATGGATTATTTTAAGTAACAACTGGAGGGGGTGCAGAATAAATTAGAAACACAGACCCCTTCCTCCTCGGTTTGGCAGGAGGCTGCTTCTGCTGTGGGGATTTGAAACCGTGGGTTTCTGGGCTGCCTGCATAGAGGAAGGAGGCCACATGCTCAGTAGAGTGAGAACTAACATTCTCCTCGCCTCTCCTCCAGCTTTCGCCTCTCCTCCAGCGTCTCCCCACTAGGGACAGCCATCACCATCTGCTGGATTATGCAGCTGGCCCTGGAGTTGGGTCATTCCTGTGACCAGGGAAAGATTTCCAGGCTGTCTCAGGGACAAGCCTCAGGGTTCCGGTTATCCCTGCCAGGACTCTCTGAAAGCCCTAACGAGGACCCTGGGGTAACAAGAGCAGAGCTCTCCTCCCAGCCCTGATGAGGTGCAAGGTGGTGTTCAGTTTCCTCTCACAGAAGAGGCCCCCAGCTCTGAACACTGGCGCAGAAGCAAGAGCTGCCTTTTTTTTTTCAGATCCCCATTAAACGAGACCAGATGGAGGCAGAGGCAAGTTTAGGCTCCCCAGAGGGTAGTTGGGCATTCACCCAGAGGCCTATGGGTAAACCTTTTCTTTCCAAAAAAAAAAAAATCCCCAAAACCCAGATTGGAGGTAACAATGGCCAGAACACCTAGAAAACTGGTCAAACTGCCTGACTTGAAGGAAATATGTGTGGCTTTTGTGGGAACGTTGACCCACCCAGAGCAGGGGTCACCCCTGGCCTGAAGTGGAGATATTTTACCTAGACAATGGCTTGTTGAGTTAGGTAGACTCGTTAGCTCTGGGGCTCTTGAGTAGAGCTGGGCAGCTGGCCAAGCCTAGGATCAGGCTGGAGTCAGAAGAGAGAGAAGGAAAGGGGAGAGAAAAGTGGGGGGGGGGGAGAAGAGAGGCGAGAGCTGGAGCCCAGACCTCCAGAGCATTGGTTGCCTTGGTTGCCTTCTGCTGGCCAGAGCTATCGCAGGGAGCCCACAAGCTTCCAGTTCATTTTCCTTATCCCTTTTTGCTCCTACCTGCATTAAACCAGGAGCCTCATGGCCTGGAATTTTAGCAGCAGGAAGAAATACATCTGGTATTTAAGTCAGCTTTTCCAGCTGAGAGAAGCAGTCTGCCTGGATCCTAGCATCATTCTCTGCCTCTAAATCACGGAATGACTCGGGGGGGACGAGTCCCTTCCCCCACTCCGAGGTCTCCATTTCTCCCTTTGCAGAAAGAGGCCTTGGGTTAGGTGATCTTTAAGGGAGTTTCCAGTCCTCAAGCTGTGCTGTCCTTATGTCTCCTTGCTCTCCAGGCTCGATTCTGTCAGGTCCTTGTCTGCTGCTGCTTCTGAATGAGGTGGCAGAGCTGAGCTCCACCCCTTCCCTCCTTCAGCCTTGAGCTGAGTGAGGAAAGAGTTTTGGAGAAGGAACCTATGCTTTTAGCTCAGCAGGGTCTCTGCAAGTGAAGTAGAAACACCCATTTGAACATTGCCCGTCTGCAGAGGTATATATAGCGGTTGACTTTTGATAAAAGACACATGACAACCCAATGTTTGTCCGTGGACTCCCACTTCAAATGCACTAGGGAAGCTGGCTAGTTAATGGAGTCCTGCTATGAATCCTTTTCTAGAACGAGAAGCCACTTTGGGATTTATCTTTGGTATTAAAATCAGTTTCATCCATCCGCTTTCCCAACGAGGCGCTTTCATTCTTGTATAGTAAAGATGGCCTCCTTTGTGTTTCCCTGAGGTCCCCTAAACTGCTTCCCCACTGAAGCTTTGGCAAGCCTTGTTCCTCCGTAGAATGCTCCCTAACTTTCTCTTCCAGCCCAGGACATTATAGCAAAAGGCTTTTCTTAGTCCTGCTCCATCAGCCCATGAACACTTCTGGCATCTGATGTCTTGGCTACCCTCGTTTTCATTTTTTTTTTCTTGTTAAAATTTTGGCCCTTATTGGCCTTCTGTGGCTCTCAAGGCGGATGGTATAGTACTTTCCATCCCTTTGTCAATACTGAAGGCTACAAGTGGGGTTTCATCAGGACTTCTGCCATGCTTCAGGACTTAGGATTTGTCTTCTGGCTTACACAACTCTATAATTATGCTGTACTGTTTAATAGTAAGTTATGTATTGTATGTAGTAATAAGATAATAAGAATTTATTGTATTGCTGGTAAAAACAAATGTCTTATATATAATAAAATTGCCCAGATGCTAAAGGCTTTCCTTAACCAAACTTGCTGATTATCTCTGTGTGTGAAGCACTTTCTGGTTGAAGTTGAACATTTTTCTGAAATATCTGAGGCCACTTTCCTGCGTAGGAATGTATCATCATAGAGTCTTTTTTCAAAACAAAACATTTTTTCCAGATTATAAAACTAAATTATGCCTATTCTAGAAAAAAAAAAAAGGACAACAGAAAAGCTACCACCAAGTAACCGGTTAACACTGCTCACTGGGATGCTCCCATGTATGTGTTTTGTTTTGTTTTGCTTTGCTTTGCTTTATATAACAGTTTTTGGCAAATATTTCCTCATGCTATTAAGCACTCTTAGGACATATTTTCATTAGTTGCTTAATATTCCATCATATGTCATTGGATAGGTGAATCGGCTTTGAAAGTCTAGGGGACTGGCACTTTCGCAGTGCCAGAATGATGGCCGCCACTAAGCGGTCAAAGAGGCTGTTGAGAATCGCATTTGAGCGCAGAAGACCAGAGGAGAAAGTTAGGGGAAAGCCAAGTCACAGGTCATGAGTCCCAGGCGTTTCCGCCTCATCCTTGAGGATGACACGCGCTAATTTAGCTACCTTGGGTTTGAACAGACAGGAAATTCTCTATTGACACAGGTGGGCCCACTTAACTTGCTTTCTCTGCTCTGGATGTTGGAGAGGCAGTGGGCAATGGAGGACAGCTGTCCTCCTATTGGGTGTTCCTGGGACTCATTACCCCCCCCCAAAAAAAAAACGGCAACAGGAGAAAGATACACAGCTGGAAGCGCCATAACTCATTGTTCTTAATAGGTACTGTATGAATATGCAATCAAAAACTGAAATTGGTGTATCCTTGAGAGAAGGCGGAAGAGAACAAGAGCAGGGTTTCTGCCTCTGCTTCAAAATGCGGTATAACGTATTTGAAAACCACAGGTGACTGCAGATGAGGAGCAAACAGGAAATGGAATTGGGAGGAGGGAAGTGGGGGCTCTCAGTTCTCAGGAGCACCTTTTCATTTTGCCTTCCTTTAGCGCCTCACAGACTATAACCTAATTACCCTACTCTGAAGGCGAATGAGCAAGGGCTTTCCTTTCCTTATGAAAAATATCCATAAATGATTGCAGGTAACACGTGAGTTCGTCTGTTTAGAAAAGCATCAAACACTACCAAAGCTGACTACACCTTTGATAGGCCCTTGGTTTCTACTTCCTGTCCCTGAGGTAACGATTGGTATCTTTTGGTTTGGTGTCTTTTCATGTATCTGTCTAGGTCTCGTCATACACATACATACACAGACCTTTTGTACTCACTATGCATAGCGTCCCACAACTATTGTTTTCTGTCTTATTCTATGTCTTGCAAGTATTCACATCAGTACGTCTGGACCTGCTGCATTCTGGCTAGCGATTGGTCCAGACTATGCGTGTTGATAATTTATTTTTCAGTTGTCCAGCATTTAAGGAGTTTCTAGTTTTTCATTCCCATAAACAATGCTTTAATGTATTTCCTTGTACAGGAATCTTTGTACAACTGTGTGAAATTCCACTGAACAGAGGTGGTTGCGGGCCTGTGGTAGATTGATGATTTTAGTGATTCGCGGTCATGAACACGGTGCTACCTGCTAGTCAGGATAGCAAGGTAAGGTTTCAGTGTTAGATGTGCTGGGCCAGGTTTCTACTTCCATCTCCTCTTCCGCACACTGTAGTCAAGTGAACATTCAATTAACTGCAATCAGAGTAATTAGGATCTCAATTAATTATACCACCTTAAGGAGAAGGACTAAAGAGATAAGGCACCGGCGGTGCTGTAAGAGAGAAGGGAAGACACTTGGGGTCAGTGAACAATTAGCCCAGTGTTCTGTCTGGAATTCGCATCCACGTATTTTTCTCTGAACAGGGATGATCTTGATATAAGATCAAAGCAAGATAGGTAGCCTCCAGACAGAATTTCCTAAATCAAAAACTGTACAGATGTTTTTGGATGCTTCCTTAACCACAGAGATTGAGACAAAAATCTGACTCCTTCAACCTAGTAAATAGCAAGAAAAACATACCAAACATCCCATGTCCAAAGACTCCAGGTTCTCTAGTTTATTTAGGTAGAGTGGGCACTGGGTAAAAGACACAAAAGAAATAAACACCACAAGTCACCGGTGACATCACTAAATGCAAATCTGTCGTTCCTTCTCTGTAATTCTTAGTGTCTTATTTTTTGCCTCAGATGACAGGAAGCGGGTCATCTCTTTTACTTTTCTGAATATTTACCCTTCTTGGTAAAATCCCCTTTACCTTCCCGTGTTCTGTGGGTGTTTCCAATATTCATTCTTTAGCTTTCCCCTCCCTCTACTGCCTCTCAGACAGCACATCCAATTTGACATCTGTCACTCCTAAAGTTTCTCTCAGCCTTAAATACCTTTAGTTTAGATGATTTACATACACAATTCACACACACAGTTGAAAGCCTTTAACACGTTTACTGTCATCAATAAAATGCAGATTAAAGAATGTGATACCATCTTCCAAGGAATCAGTTCCCAGTAGATAAAGGCCCATGATGCTTCATGGGTACGCAAACATAGACACAGTAGTGGTAGAAACACACGTTAGTACTGTCCTCTGCTAAGTGATCCACCAGTATTTAAAATGTCTGAGCCTTTGGAGCTAGCAAGATGGCTGGGCGGGGGTGGGGGTGGGGGTGGGGGTGAGGGGGAGGTACCGCTACCAAGCCTGAAAACTTGAGTTTGGCCCCAAAGACCCACATAGAAGGATACAGCCAACTCTTGTTGATTGTTTCTTGACCTCCACACAGGTACTGTGGCATGCGTACTGTCACAGACAAACAAAGAGATATAAAAAAATATGAACCCTTTGCTCCAGCAGGCTTCAATTTTAGGAAATAGAGACATTTTCAACCCTACCAAAAAAAACTGTTGTTTATTTTGTTTTGTTGTTGTTCTTTATGTAGAAAATCTGGAGATAACACTAAATGTCCAGCAGTAGAAGTTATAGTAGGGATAGGTGGCAGACTCCTTCATGCGCATGCTACATGGCCAATAAAAATAGCGGTTTGGAGCCCAGAGAGATGGCTCCGTGGTTAAAAGCTCATATCCATACCACTCTTGCCGAGGATCTGCATTTGATCCCCAACACCCACATCAGATGGGTCATACTTGCCTGTAACTCTGGCTTCAAGGGATTCAACTCCTTCTTGTCTCTGCGGGCACCTACATTCGTGTGTACATACCCACACACACATGTGCACATCTTTCAAGATAAAATGGGTCTTTATAAAGATGCTGTTATAATGGAATTAGTGATTTATAAGTATAGCTAATTCCTCAAGAAAACATCTGCACTGCGTGTCAGGGCATTAAGTCAGATTGTGCAAAAGAACAGGTAACGGTAACCCCGCTTTGCTAAATAAAGGTGTACCGACTGGCAGGAAGTACATATTGCTCATCTTGGGAGAATGAGAATATCATAGATGACTTTTATTTTCTTCCTGTTAATTTCTATGTTTTCTGGTAATTTCTACTAATGTAAGCATTTGGGAAGTAGAAGCAGAGAGATCAACAGTGTAAGTAAAACTTCTTTGCAATATATTGAGTTTGAGACAAGCGTGGGCTACTTGAGATCCTGCCCACAAGTGAAAATTTACCAAACACCCACCACATGCCCACCATTATCTTCCACAGCAATGTAAAGAGCCCCAGACAGGGAAAGGACGAACATAACCTTTACTTTACAAGCAATGAGCTTAGGGAATTTGGGGTGTTTTGAGCAGGGAATGCCATGACCCACGTTATATTTAATTTTTTCTTAGATTTATTCTACGTGATCAGAGTTTTGCCTGCAGATTTGTATACTCCCCATGTGTGTGCCTGGTGCCCTCAGGGGTCAGAAATTGGAGTTAGGAACCATGATGAGTGTAGGGAACCCAGCCTCTACAAAACCAGCAAGGGCTCCTAACCACTGGGCCATCTCGCCAGCTCCACGTGCAGGAATTGTTGTAAAGCTCATTCTGTCTGCAGCCTGACTGATGGAAAGAACAAGAAAGTAGGGTCAGGGTATGTCTCCAGTGGGATCGAACTGGCAGGCTGACGTCCACACACCTTGAGAAAGAAAAAATGCTGGTTAAAGTCAACTGAACTGAGACTCCAAAGGGGCAGCAACTGGGGTTGGGAGTATAGCTTAGTTGTAGAATCTGGGCATGAGAGTTGTCTGCCACTGTGCCCCATTTTTGTGGCGCTAGGAGTTAAACCTAGGGTTTGTGTGTGCTAGGCTACATCCTGGGCCCCATGTTTGGCAATTCTTTCACGGTGAAGTGAAATTTAAAGGTAAGGTGCTACTCCCCCCCCCCCCCCCCCCCCCCCCCGCTATCTTTAGACTGAGAATTCCTTGGACTTCAGAGCACTTGAAGTCTCACAATGCTGAATTTGGAGACAGAGAGAGATGATAAAATATGGCTCAGGAAACCTCAACTCTGAGTCTGTCCCAATTTTGAAGCCTGCTACGTAGGAGGCTCCCTGGGGAGAGCATATTGGCTCTTAAGGCTCTTTGCCTGAGCACCAGTGGCGGTAAACTTCCAGCCTACTCTGTGCTTTAAAAGCAGAAAGGAAAAATGAGAACTAGGAAAAGGGAAGTGGAAAGGGGCGAAGTGGGTGTGGAGCAGCGTGTTGCGCATCCCTCGTGAAGCTCCTCGTCTCTAGGTGAGGAGCAAGGAATGCATCAGCCGGACTCAACGACAGCATATGGCGGTCTGTCGAGTGCGCTCGGCTGGAAGTTTGTGTGGAGAAAAGTGAGAGGCGAATGAACATGCCAGATGGTAGTCACCATCACAAGCTCTCGGTGGATCTAATGGCAGGGATGGGAGCGGGGAGACCCCCAACTAGGTGAAGGGACTGTCTGACTACATCCGTGGCGGAGTGGCTCCTCCACCATCGCATCCTATCCATTCTGGTTGCACCAAGTCAAGAGCAGCGGGTCCAGTTAGTGTAAGAGCTGCCTGCTGGCTGGCACAGCCTAGGATGCTGGTACAGGCCTCCTGGCACAAACCAAGGCCTTTTGGGTTGCTCTTGGCATCGTGCTGGTTACGGAAAGTTTGGTGCTGCCTCACCCCACAGAATCTCTGCCTATTTCCATAGCCCATCATTCTTGTGAAGCTCGTCTGCCTCCAGCTTCCATTCCCCACCCTTCTCCTGACACCCCACCCTTGGCTGTGACCATTAGCAGTTGGCATATTTCTTGACTACACGCAGGCCCTTTTTGTCCCTTCCCCTTGGTTCCTTGGAAGTCTGCCTGAGTTTGAGACTCTCCTTGTTTATAAAACCATTTAACTATAAGAAGCCTTGGCCCTCTGCTTTCCAGGGCTGGGAGTGGCTTGGCTGACCCCTGTGGAGTCAAGGGAACCAGAGGAAGCCCAGAGACAGCTCCCTTCAAGCTAGAGGGAGCTACAGCGTTTTACTGGATGACGGGCCAGTGTGGGGCCCAAGGATAACCTTATAGTGAGGCGATAAGAGCAGCTACTATTTGGATGCCTTCCACGTGCCAGGCAGTGTGCTTGCTGTGCGCCTAAGGAGGAATGACCTGTACAATCTCACATTAACTACTAATTCCTGGCTTTGTAAGGGACAGACTGAGGGTTAAGCAGCTTGTTAGAGGTTGAACTGCAGAAGTTGGCCTCTGACTCAGAGTTGCCTGATTCAAAAGTCTGTACTTTAAGAATTAGTTTTACAGTGTGTGTGTGTGTGTGTGTGTGTGTGTGTGTGTGTGTGTGTGCTGGTATCACACGAGTGGGGAGGTCAGAGGGTAACCTACGGGAACTGATTCTCTCCTTCCGCCGTGTGAGTTCCAGGTGTCAAACTGACGTCATTAGTCTTGGCAGCAAGCACATTTACCCACTGAGCCACCTTGCCTGCCCAAATCTGTGCTCTTAACCTCGCTGCTGTACCACCTTGGTAGGTCGCCAAAGGGTCCGAGAAAGAAGATTCACTGGTGTCCAAGGGCTTTGGAATATCTATGGAATGTGTGTACACATATTAAGTTCCTTATAGGCATTGATGAACAGATTTTCTCCTCTCGTCACCTCTAAAATACATCATACCGTCTCATATGATAGACGTGCAAGGAAACCGAGTCTCAGCGAGGCTCCCTGGCCTCTAGGTGATTAAGTTGAGCTTTCATCCAAGTTTGGCACATCCAGTGCCAGCCTGGGCAAGCGACCCACATCCTTTGTTCCGTCTAGAAGTATAGTGGTATTTATCCCTTAACCTACTGGATGCCTGGACTCAAACATCCATGATTTCCAAGCTGATGGGCCATGTGGCTTTGAAGTGTGTGTGTGTGTGTGTGTGTGTGTGTGTGTGTGTGTTGGGGGTGTGGTTGAGGGAAGAGATGACACATTGGGCCTTTGTGGTTGCTACTTCCTGACACAGGACAGAGTGTGTGTGGATGGACTGTAGAGACCCAAATGGCTTTTAAGCACACTGTCATCTTCTTTCCTCCCTCTCTTTCCAAATTAGGGCGAAGGTTGCCGAACTGTCCCCCTGGCTGGACATGTGGGGTTTGACAGCTTGCCTGACCAGCTGGTGAATAAGTCAGTCAGCCAGGGCTTCTGCTTCAACATCCTGTGTGTGGGTGAGTATTTCCATGGCAGGAAACTCTATTACAGGATATAGGTCCTTAATGGCTCGATGTGGCTTTGCAGGTAATTAGGTTAAATAATGTGTCATTCTTGTCTAGTAGCAGACTCGCCCCTCCTCCTCCTCCTATCCCTTTGTTTATTTTTTCCCCCTCTGCCCAGACCAGAATCGGAGGCCATACCTTGGGGGAAAAAAACAGAGCTTTGTTGAGACTCAGTGGAAAATTTTGTTAAGGGGGGCTGGCTGGCTCGGTTGCTGCTGTCAGGTCCTTTTCGACGGCAGAAGATGAGAACCAGGACAGAACTGGGAGGGAGAGGATGGCTGAGGAAAAAGATGCCCGCCTTCCAGTGGCGGGTAGTTGGCCGGGTCTCTGCAGGTTGTGTGGGCTTGGTACAGTTGGAACGCCAGTGTAGGAATCACACAGCTGTGAACAAAGATCTTTTATTCCCCTACCTGTATCTCTGCCTGCTGGCCTTTATTTTGTTATGGTTTAAGACAGAGTCTCATTATGTGGCCTAGGCTGGCATGGACCTCACAAGTCTCCCAAGCTAGTCCTTAATTTTCAGTCCTCCTACCTTAGCTTCCCGAGTGTCGGGGCCACGGTCACACACCAGCATACCTGTATGGGGAGGCATTGTTTTAGCCCACTTGATGTGCCCATCACAGCCCAGCAGAGTGATAATATTTGTCAAGTGAACGAATGCATTGAGCCCACAGGAAGCATTTGCTAGACTTTTCAACAGGTTCTCACGTTAGTTCTTCTGGCCCCCAGGCTGCACAGTGAAGCCTAAGAATAGTATCCTCATGCTCATGGAGAGGAGAATTGAGGGGGACAAGGGACTTACCTGAGGCTACATGGAAGAACTGGCAGGGCCATAAAGCAGGGCTATAGGCCTGGCTGACCTCTTGTTCCTCCCACTGCCTCTAAGCACTGTCAGCAACAGCCCCTGAGACCACGAAAGTGCTTTGTAAACCATTGAGTACCATCAAACAAACATGAGGGACAATAGTATCTTGTCATTCTTTAAGAATGTGTTTTGCAACCTTAAAAATCCCCAATTTACAAACACGGTGGTAACATGTAATTTTCACCCCACAGTGAAAGAGAAGTATACCTGCATATTTTCACCGACCTCCTTCTGAACCATAATGGTCACATAAATACCATAATAAAGCCTATTTTCACACTGGCTGGAACACTTGCAGGCTTCTGATTATTTCCTTCTCTTATTTTTGTATAGAGCATCTAGGGAACTCGTTCACATCATCGATTCAAACTACCACTGAATTATATGCTTTACTGTTTAATGCACTGAAAATTTCTTTTTTCTGCTGGATGTGGTGGTATAGATCTATAACCCCAGCACTTAGGAGGCCAAAGGAAGAGGATTGTGAATTTGAGTGTAAGATTGGCTGCATGATAAGACCTTGTCTTGAATAAACAAACAAATAAAGATCTTCAAAAAAAATTTCTTTTGATTTTTCGAGGCAAGGTTTCTCTGTGTAGTTTTGGAGCCGGTCCTGGAACTTGCTCTGAAGACCAGGCTGGCCTCGAACTCACAGAGATCCACCTGCCTCTGCCTCCCGAGTGCTGGGATTAAAGGTGTACGCCGCCACCACCCAACGAAATTTTTTGAAGTCATTCATTTTCTTGTTTTTTTTTTTTTCTCCTCTATTTCCAGTACTCCTTACCAGGTCATTCCCTGTAGGGAATTCACTGTACTTGTAAGGACAAACAGAGCAATAAGGTCACTTCTAAATATGGGTGACAGGCAGTCAGCGAGGCTCACTCACTAGCAAAAGTGACTCATTCCCATGGATCAGCTTTGGAGCCTATGAGACAAAAATATGTGCTTTGTGGAATTACACATCAGAGGCCTTAGAGTCTGCACAGAGGTTGCCCAGTCTAACTCGCAGTCATGTTTAGGTGTTAATTAGGATAGGGATAGACAATAAATGCGAGACAGGGCATCAACCTCAAGAACAAATGCCATCCCGTCTAATATGGGCACTACCAAATTTCTGTTTAGCTAACAAGATCAATCTTTGGCTAATGGCCAACTTATTTCACACAATATTTGATGACTGAAATATCCCAGTGCACACACATACCAGATTCCCTTGGCATTCCTCCCAGAATGCCGTATGACCTGTGCTGAAAATGGAGACGAAAGCAAAATGACAAGCCCACCATAAGCAACCTTTCAAACTAGAGCAGTAGACTGGCCTGACAAAGCCCTGTGACTCAGAATGACACTCGGATGACAAAGTGTAGGGAAATGTCTCATAGGAATCTTAAGAGTCCTCGGGGCCCCGCAGGCTGAGGCAGCCACGATCAAGACGAAGTGAGCGGGCTAGTCAACTCACGTTCCCACCAGGGTATTTTTTGCTGTCTGCAGCGCTTCTGCATACATGCACCTGATGGCATGAAGCTGCTGAAGGGGCTGGGGCAGACTCTCTCAGAACGGAAGGGAGGGAAGAAACAAAGACCCTTTCATCCCCAAGGAGTCAGGGATCTTTTTGTTCTCTCTGCTTCTCAAGCTCAAGGAAATGGCTGCCCTCCTGTAATGCCCATAGATAGGCCCATTAGATAAACTAGTCCCTATACTGGGTCAAAAGACGCCTAAAGTGTGTGCATCCCATTCTCTTGCTGTATTCATAACCTTGCCATGGCTCAGGGAACCCTCAACTTGCATCAAGGTCACAAGTGACTCTGAGACTGCCATCTCAGCCCAGCTATAGTGCTGTGAACTGTCACGGACTTGGCCCAGAGTCCACGGTGAGGTTACTGAAGGTGATCATTACTCCTGCAGGAATTTTAGAGACTGTGTTCTTATGCCTAGTAATGTGACTGTCACATTTACCTCCTTGGTGACTGTTTGAAAATGCTTCTGTTTGGTTCCAGAAATTGTTTACCTGAAGTATTTTTAGCATCAAATTATGGCAGTGCTAGCCTTGAGAGCTACTCGGAGAGCTAGGGCAGGTTTTTTTTTTTTTTTAACATTATTGTCTATCTTGATGCTGCCCCGCTGATCTTCTGCCCACACCCAGCAAAGTGTTGTACATTTATGTGGGCCTAAGTGCATGTGTGTTTGTTGAAATTGAGAGAGGAGGGAAAGAGAATTTTTATGAATCCAGAACCTAAATTAGAGTGCAATAAATTGACTGTGCCAATAATTTCCATCCATGATTATTATGACTTTTAGCTAAGCATAAAGATGTGAGCATATATGACCTCAGTCTCATAGGTTCTCTAAGGTTGACAGTAGTTACCAAGCAAGGTAACATTCCCTCAACCTCACCCCATCAAAAATCATATCCCAACCCCTTAGCTTTGGAGATTTTGAGTACCCTGTGACTGTAAACATCCTTATAGGAGGCCTCAAAAGAAAAACCTGAGGCCAGGTTGTGGGTTGTGGTGGCACACTCCTTTAATCCCAGCACTTGGGAGGCAGAGGTAGGTGGATCTCTGTGAGTTCTAGGCCAGCCTGGTCTGCAAGAGTGTAGAAGGAGCTGCGGGCCACTTCCTTCTGCCCAGCTCCCGGCCACCAGCTAGCTTTACCCAAAATAATTACACGGAAACTGTATTCATTTAAACACTGCTTGGCCCATTAGTTTCAGCCTCTTATTGGCTAATTTTCACATCTTGCTTTAACCCATATTTAGTAATCTATGTAGCACCACGAGGTGGTGGCTTACCAGGAAAGATCTTAACCTGTTTCTGTCTCAGAGAGGAGAGGCATGGTGACTGCCTCACTTCCCTTCTTCCCAGCGTTCTGTTCTGTCTATTCCACCCACCTATGTTCAGGCCAAGCAGTTTCTTTATTAATTAACCAATGAAAGCAACACATAGAAAGAAGACCCACCTACATCACAAGAGCTAGTTCCAGGCTGTTACACAGAGAAACCCTGTCTTGAACCAAACAAACAAACAAAATACAATGAGAGAGAGAGAGAGAGAGAGAGAGAGAGAGAGAGAGAGAGAGAGAGATACACCTGTGCAGGTAATACCAATGTTCTGGGACCTGGTGCTTTGTACTGCGGGGAAAGAGCCCCAAAGAGACTTTACCCCTCTAAATGTGCTGGCAGTGCTAATGGCCATGAAGAACACGGCTCATAATGATAATATTTACTTTGAAGCTGCTCAGGATTCCAGGCTCAACTGGGCTCTGTTGAACTTGGAAAACACACTCAGGACAAGCAGAATTGAGACTTTACTGCAAGAGGTATGCAAAGGGTAGCTATTAGTCTATGAAGGTCAGGCTAATGTTCCGTTCCTCTATCTCTGGGAAAGGCAGGTGTTAGCCTTAAGCTGCCATAGTGGTCGGTCACTGGCTAACAAGGCACCACGGGAGAAAACAGTCCCATGGTTTGTGGCATCCACCGATTTGCATAGTGTCGTTATTTCCACCGTAGCAAGTTTTAAGCTTTCGATGTCACAGAACACGAGTTGGGGAAGAGGCACAGGAAACTGCATGTGCTGGCTGAAACACACCACAGTCTGTCAGGTCCCAGCAAGAACAGGAAAGAGAAAGGACAAGGTCGCATAGCCAGGCATGACCTTGTCCCTCTCCAAAGACTCCCATGGCCAACTCTAGTTCCTGGAGTGTTTCCTTTTGGACACCTCCCTGTCGAACTCAGTGGCATTTTCTCTTGGCTTGTTCCACCATTTACAGCTGAGAGAGACCTCTCTCTCCAAGCTAACACGGACTGTGGCCATCTTGTTCTTTGCTGTGATTTCAGCCACTGTAATTGTATCAGGCTGTGATCAGACAGAGGCTTTGTAAATACTTGTTGAGCGACTAAATGAACCAATAGGTCATACTTGTGGCTTCACTAGACTGTATTGGTTCAAAGCATTGGCTACTATCCTGCCTCCATGAAAATACTGGCTCTGCTGTGGATTAGTTTGTGACCTTGGACAGTCATTTCCTCTACAGTATATAAAGGAGGAAATCTGGGTCCAGAGAGGAGGAGGAGGAACTTGCAAATTCGACTTGGTTAACCTGACTATAAATTAAGGGTGAATTGTGTCTAGGGGCTCACTGGGTTACAGTTCAGGGTTAGACCTTTTTTTTTTTTTTTTTTGCTTGTTCATTTTTTTTTGTTTGTTTGTTTGTTTGAGACAGGGTCTCATTTTGTAGCCCAGGCTGGCCTGGAACTCACAGAAGCCTCTGCTTCTTGGTGTCACCGTGCACAGCCAGGGGTAGAGCTCTTGTTTAACCTGGTGGACTTTGAGTCCCTGGACTCCATTCCCAGCACTAAAATGAAAAAGACAAAACCATAGTGTCTACCTTATAAACTTGCTGTAAGGAATAAATACACCCTATGGAGGTTGAGGGTAGGCTTCAGTAGTTGAGCGCTTGCCTCAAATGTGTGAGGCCCTTCGTTCCATCCGCAGCCCTACATAAAAGAAAAGAAACTGTATATTTATTCATGGCCATCTTGGCAGAGAGCACATAAATGTGCTATAAGCCAATGCTATTGGTGGATGCCTAGAAGTTCCAGCACCTGGGAGGCTGAAGGAGAGCTCACCTCAAAACTATGCCAAACCACTCCCTTCCCAGACAAAAAGACCCGCTGTTGTTCTCCAACCTTCCCCTTTTACAGGAAAGAAGACTAGAACCCAGACTGGGGACAGGGCTGAGATTTTGTCACATGGCAACATAGTAGTAGGTAGCATATGAAAGATTTATCTCTCTTACTTCCTCTTTCTTTCTTTCTTTCTTTCTTTCTTTCTTTCTTTCTTTCTTTCTTTCTTTCTTTCTTTCTTTCGAGACAGGGTTTCTCTGTGTAGCCCTGGTTGTCCTGGAACTTGCTTTGTAGACCAGGCTGGCCTCAAACTCAGAGATTTTCCTGCCTCTGCCACCAGAGTGCTGGGATTAAAAGTGTACGTCACCACCACCTAGCAAATTTAAATTGTTTAAAAAGGACATTTACTTATTTTACATGTATGAATGTTTGCTTACATGTACATTTGAGTACTACATGCATGTCCAGTGTCTGAGGAGACCAGAAGACAGTTTTGGTCCCCCTGGAACTGGAGTTACAGCCAGCTGTGAGCTGCCATGTGCATGTTGGAAACTAAACCCAAGTCTTCTGCAAAAGCAGCTAGTGCTTAATCACTGGGCCGTCTCTCCAGCCCCTGTTATTTTAAAAAATTGTTGTTTCCAGTACAATGTCAACAATAAGCCAAGTGAGAGGAAGAACAAGAGTTCAAAGAGTTAAGAACCCCTGCTCTCCATTGTGACACGCTCTGGGAGGGCTGGGGAGAAGGGGAGGGAAATTGAGCCCTTGGGACTCATTGAGTTTCCTGCTGGAAGCCAGTTGCCAAGTTCCTACCTTCTTGCTGAAGCATGATGGAATCTGCTGACCTGATCCCAGTTAGACTACGTGTCATTTCCCCAGACACATTTCCTAGTGAGCCCAAGGCGACAGCATTCTAGTCTCAGGCTGAATCTGTGTCAGCCATCGAGAGAGGATGTCCCTCCAGCTCCAGGTCCCCCTTGATGGCAACTGAGAGCAGAAGCATCCAAGAGTCTCCGGAGGAGCTGGTTGCGTTTTCTGCCTTCTTCTAATGCCTACATTTATTGCAATTCCCTAGACATGGGAGTTCTTCCTTCTCTCCCAGACCTTCATTATTTAACATCTAGTTGCCACAGCCCTTTCTGTTGCTGGCAGGCATCTGGGTGGTCAGTTTCCTTGCCGGTCCTCCCTGCTGCTGGGCCTACACCACCCAGCCCCCATTTCTCCAGCTGTGCAAACAGGGTGTGTCCTGGGCACTGTAGAACTGCTCCTGAGACCTTCCAAGCAGGGCTCTCTCCAGGCACTGTCAAGGATACAGAGGATTCTCTGGGAATTTCTAGGATGTGGAGGCAGTGTGCCCATTCTGGAGGGCTGGGGCGATTGGAGCCTGCCGCTGGCCGGGGGCAGCAGTTATGAACTCAAGGGACAAAGAGGATGAAGTTGAGGCTGTACATGGGAAACCCATTAGACATAAGAGAAAACTAGACGAAATGCGCCTGAAACACATGGGTGTCCACAGGGAAGTTGAGTTGGAGCATGGCAGCCGTCCTTGCATTCCCACATCAGAGGTTCTGGCCCTGATTGCAGGTGAGCTGTGCCACTTCTTTGGTGGGGTAATGGGTGCTGTATTCTCCCGCATGCCTGAGTCTGCCACCTCCCATGACAAAGACCTCGCTGTACCAGACTTTCTTGGGACCCGATTACTTTCTTTAGGGAAGGACAAAAAGGGGCCTCTTCTTAAGAAAATTGTTGTCCCTGATGGATATAGCAGACCCTGGTTGGAAACACAGTCTGTGTGAGGATTTCTGTATACCCTGGCCATTCACCTCACAGTTATGCCTGGCTAAGAAACAGGGCTGCAGACCTTGGGAAGCAGGCTAACTTGAAAGCTCTCATTATATAGGTAAATTTTTTATAGGTCATTGTTTAGGATAAGAGGAGTTTGGAAGATTCATAGCTCCACACACTGAGCGGATAGGGAGAAAGGGGGCAGCTTTGATTCCCCATCATGCAGCTCTATGCTCTGCCTGCAAATGTGTACTGTTGGTATCCGGGGACTTTTGCCAGGCTAGAAATTACCCAGAGTAAACCTAAGTCCAACCATGAGGATAAGTCAAAGGTCACACAGTCTCTCCTTGGTTGGGAAGAGGTAGGAGAAGAAGAATGGAAGCTAGGAAAAAAAGGTTGTGTGGTCTGAGGAGTTTCAAAGAATGGTCCAAGGTCATTGACTTTGTTTGTTTGTTTGAGATAGGGTCTAGCTAAGTACCCCTGGCTGTCTTTGAATTTACTCTGTAAGCCAGGCTGGCCTTGAATTTAGATCCACCTACCCGTGTCTTTCAAGTTTGGGGATTAAGGGCAAGTACCACCTTGCCAAGCCTGTTTCTTTTTTTTTTTTTAATATTTATTTATTTATTATGTGTACAATATTCTGTCTGTGTGTATGCCTGAAGGCCAGAAGAGGGCGCCAGACCTCTTTACAGATGGTTGTGAGCCACCATGTGGTTGCTGGGAATTGAACTCAGGACCTTTGGAAGAGCAGGCAATGCTCTTAACCACTGAGCCATCTCTCCAGCTCCGCCAAGCCTGTTTCTAATTATTGACTTAAAGACCAGGCTGGTCTCAAACCCAGTATCGAACAGAGGTTGATTTGACCCTTCTTATCTGCCTCCGCCTCCGTTTCTCGAGTGCTCGGATTACAGATCTGGGTGGCACCTTGCTCAGTTCCTTCAATGCTGGCTTCAGTTATACTAAGCCTCACTCCATTCGCTGAGCTACATCTCCAGCCTTAGCTCCTGACTTTTAGTCCTAATATTTCCGATTCACTTGGAGTAGGATGAGGAGCCAAATACAATCTGAAGCCATAGAGATGGTTCGAAGGAGTTCTAGTGCCTAGCCCAGCTGTGGCTTCATATCAGATTCCTGCCGAAGGCCGTGACGCTAGCTTCTCTCCAATGTGTGATTGTGATGCCTGATTCTCCAAAGACTCCTTGGTTCTAGGCCGTGGTTTGGCATCCTCTAGTGTCCCAGGAGTAACTTCCCCAAACCTTTACTAGTCCACCATAACCCTTCCCCTATTCATCGCCCAAGTGTAAAATTCTAGTGGCTGGATTTCATTAGTGTCACACAGCTGACATGTTAGCTAAGCAAACAAATGTTTGTTTGAAATGTAAGAACTTGTGGCTTAAGTTCATTCCTCGGTAGATAAAAAATGGTCTCACTAGCCGGGCGATGGTGGTGCACGCCTTTAATCCCAGCACTCGGGAGGCAGAGGCAGGCGGATCTCTGTGAGTTCGAGACCAGCCTGATCTACAGAGCTAGTTCCAGGACAGGCTCCAAAGCCACAGAGAAACCCTGTCTCGAAAAACTAAAAAAAAAAAAAAAAAAAAAAAATGGTCTCATTGAAAGGTCTTGTAGGCTGGGAGAAGCCAAGGTTAGAGACAGTCTCCCCACTTAGGACACAGAACTGTGACATCTGTGGAACTGAACACTGGTTAGGCCTGGCAGAACCTGAAGCAGGGCACGAGAGGAGGGGGTATTTATTTAACAACTGTTATTTTTTTACATGTTCTACTTCAAAAATACAGAAAAACTAAAGAAAAATGAAACCTATACATAAGCGCACCACCCAGAGATAAGCATTAATAAAAGTATATTATATTTCTTTACAGGCTATTTTTAGAGATAATTATACCCCTCTATCTGTGCATATAGCATTTCTTTCTCTGCCTCTAAAAGCAATGTATGCTCAAGGTAAAGCTTCAAATAACAGAAAAAAAATATGAAGGCTAAAGTGGAAATTTCTCTAGGATTGTGAGCTGTCTGCGGCTGGCCTGTCTGTGCTTTCCTTTGTCTTGTAACTGATGTTCTATATCCTATGTACTTCTACATGGTTTTCTTTTTCTTTTTTTTTTTTGGTTTTTCGAGACAGGGTTTCTCTGTGGCTTTGGAGCCTGTCCCGGAACTAGCTCTTGTAGACCAGGCTGGTCTCGAACTCACAGAGATCCGCCTGCCTCTGCCTCCCGAGTGCTGGGATTAAAGGCGAGCGCCACCACCGCCCGGCTCAGTGCTATAGTATACACTTCTTCCTTCGTACATGCATGTGGCTACGTAGTCACCGTGCAATATCTTTTGCTTTTCAGGGGAGACAGGCTTGGGCAAGTCCACCCTCATGGATACCCTGTTCAACACCAAGTTTGAGGGGGAGCCGGCCACCCACACACAGCCAGGTGTTCAGCTCCAGTCCAATACCTATGACCTCCAGGAGAGCAACGTGGGGCTGAAGCTCACGATTGTGAGCACCGTGGGCTTTGGGGACCAGATCAACAAAGAGGACAGGTAAGGAAAGCAGAGGGGTGGGAAGGTGAACGGAGGAGAGGGGCTTACCATGGGAGTTTTGGAGAGAACACAGACTCTGGGGCCCAGCCTGTCTCACTAGAATGACGTGGGCAGGCAGCTTGTAAACAGGGCGTCATTGGAGGGGCCCTGTCTATAACAACTGTGCCCCTCCATATACTTTGCCAAAAGAGGGGTGTCTTTCTAATACAAGGGTGTGGAGCCTTGAATCTGTTCAGCCCTGTGCCAGGCCCTCCGGTACTTTAATAATCTAAAAGGAATGGCTTAATCTCTGCTCGCAAGGCATTCACGGGAAAGGCCTGTCTTAAGCAAATAACTTCCACCGAGAGGAGTATGTCCTGTGAAGGACAGAGTACAGAGAAGTAAAGGACAGGCTGCAGTGAGACCACAAGGACAAGAACAGTCAGTTCTATGCCCAGAAGCCAGAGAGGCTTTCTCAGAAGCCTCAGGATGTCAGTGACGTCAGCAGGTGTGTGAGGGGGATTGGGAAGAGGGACCAAGGAGGTCTAAGCAAAGAGGAAGGAGGAGAGCCAGGAGAAGTTGTAGGGGCTTCAGGTTGCGTGTGAGGGGTGAAGGAGGCTGAGACGAGGATATGATAAAGCCTAGGGCAGGGGAGGAAAAGCTGGTAGGGCCCTCACACAGAAAGGCCCATTCAACAGTCTTTTCTTTTTTAAAAAAAAATGTTTGTAAGCCAGGAAGTGGTGGTGCACATCTTTAATCCCAGTACTCAGAGAGCAGAGGCAGGTGGATCTCTGTGAGTTAGAGGCCACCTGGTCTACAGAGAGAGTTCTAGGACAGTTAAGACTGTTACATAGAGAAACCCTGTCTCGAAAAATCAAAAAAAAAAAAAAAAACCTCTTTGTCTGTGCAAGTGCAGGTGTGTGTATCACAGTATATGTCCCACGGTGCATGTGTGGAGGTCAGAGGTCAACTTCTTAGCTGTTAATTATCACCTTTAGTCTTGTTTGGGAGGGTGAGTTTTTTCTGTTGTTGCTATTCTATGCATATGACAGACTGACTAGCTAGAAAGTGAATTCTATCTCTGCCTCCTATCCCAGGTAAAACCATTTGGATTACAGATGTGTGTCACTTTCTCCAGCTTTTCCTGAGTTCTGGTGATCTAAACTCAGATGTTTTTGTGGCATGTGCTTTACTCACTGAGCCTTCTTCCCAGCCCTTTATTTTTAAGATTTATTCTACTCTTAAGCATGTGTACATGTTCATGTGTATGCATGGGTGGAGTATGTGCTGCCTGTGAGTGCAAGTGTCTGTGGAGGTCACAAGAGGGCACCAGATTCCCGGGAGCAGGAGCTGCAGGCGTTTGCCAGCTGCCTGATGTGGGTGTTGAGAAGCAAATTTGGGTTCTTTGGAAAAGGAGTACAAACTCTTGACTGCTGAGCCCTTTCTCCAGCCCTTGGGTTTGGCTTTTTTTTGGGGGAGAGGAGTTGTTGTTTTATTTGTTTTTTGAGTAAGTTCTCACTATGTATCTTTGGCTGGCCTGGAACTCTCTATAAAATCCAGGCTGGCCTTGAACTCTCAGAAATTCACCTGCCTTTGTCTCCTGACTATTAGGACTAAAAGTTCACCACTACACCCAGCTTGCATTTGTATTTTGTTTTGTTTTGTTTTTTGAGACAGGGGTTTCTCTGCATAACAGTCCTGGCTGTTCTGAATCTCACTCTGTTAACCAGGCTGGCCTCAAACTCACAGAGATCCACCTGCCTCTGCATCCCTGACACTCTGATTAAAGGCGTGTGCCATCGTTGCCTGATTTTGGTTTCATTGTTGTTGTTTTGTTTTACTTGGGATTTTGTTCATTTTGTTTTGCTTGAGACAAGGTCTTTCTATGTATCACTCTCTGGAACTTGCTCTGTAGCCCAGGCTGTCCTCATCCACAGTAGCTTCTCAGCTAGGGGAGGGCCTCAGGAGCCCTGTTCCCTGCTGGGCTGGAATATTGTTGCTCGGGTCTTGTGGAGATCACTGCAGCTGTTTGGGACCTATGAGTCCAATAGCACTCTTGTGTACAGAAGACAGCATTTTACAGCATCCCTCCATCCTCCAGTTTTTACATTCTTCCATGTCTTCTTTGATGTTCCCTGTGCCATTGTTGAGGGTTGATGCAACTGTCCCATTTAGGGCTGAGCGCTCGGTCACTTATTAGCAGTCTGAGAAGTTCTGGGCCCCTGTGCTAATGGCTGCCGGCTGCAGAAAGAGCCTCCCTGAGCAACGGCGAGAGCACCACAGGTCTACGGCTAGAAACATCAATATTTGGAAGGAGGTTTGATAAGATGTCCCTTCAGTAAAACAGCAGCAGCAGGTCCCCCCTCTGACCTATTGTTACTATCCCAACCATAGGCTTCTGACCAAATGTACAGTAACAGACATGGATTCCATCTTGTGGATCAGCCTCAGATCCAATCAGAAAGTAGTTAGTTGCCCCGTAGCAGTTACACATCTTGTCTGGCAGATCAGTGGATAAGATCTCTGGTGTCCTTGGTTCCCTAGTGGCCTGGGTAGCACCTCCCAGCGCTATGGAAGTTGGCCAGTAGACATTTTCAGGTCACTTCCACATCGATTTCTCTGTGTCCAGTAAAATAATGTGATCTCTTTAGCAAGAAGGTCTTAATCTTAAGTTGTGGTGAGCAACCAGGAACATTGGTGATAACCTATGAGGCCTGCAAAAGCAGTGACTCAGAGAGAGGTGTGTTGTGCCGGGCACTGGAGTTTTTGTCTCCTAGCCTATTGTCCCCTAGGAGCAGCGTTGTCCACCCGTGTAACCTACCTCTGTTCAAGCTCTTTTTTAAAAAAAATTCATTTTGTGTGTATGTGCGAACACAGTCCAGGGAGCACGCATGTGTGCACCTGCACAACATGGATGTGCATGTGAGTACTGGTGCCTGCATAGACCGGAAGAGGGCATCGGATCCTGTGGAATTGGACTCACGGGTGGGTGTGAACCATTCAGACCGGGTGCTGGGAACTGAACTTGTCCTCTGCGAGAGCAGTGAGCGTTCTTAACTGTTGAGGCCATGTCTCCAGCTGAAACTTTTTCAAAAACTGTATTTTAATTTATTTTTGCTTTATGCACATGAATGTTTTGCCTGCTTGTACATATGTGCACCATGTTCATGAAATGTCTTTGAAGCCAGAAGAGGGTGTGGGAGCCCCTGAAACTGGAAGTACAGGCAGTTGTGAACTGCCACTTGGATAGTGGAACCAAACCCAGGGCCTCTGCAAGAGCAGCAAGTGTTCTTAACCCCCGAGCCATCTCTCCAGCCCAAAATTTTATTTGAAATTAGCCGGCAAAGTAGTAGTTTTCCATAAGGCTTTTTCATATGTTCTTAGTTTGCTTTCCCTCTCGTTCTCCTTCCTTTCCTCTATCTGTCCCCCATTTCCCTGCCCAAACTGTTGACCTCCAGTGCACATGTAGTTTTTCAAGAACCGAAACCAATTCTGTTTTTTTTTAAACGTGAAATTCTAAAAGGAAGACACCTCTCTTTTGAAATAATTACATTTACTTATTAAATAGTTGGTTTTTTAAAAAAATTATTTATTTATTATGTATAGTGTTCTATCTGTCTGTATGTTTGCTGGCCAGAAGAGGGCACCAGATCTCATTACAGATGACTGTGAGTCACCATGTGGTTGCTGGGAACTGAACTCAGGACCTCTGGAAGAGCAGTCAGTGTTCTTAACCTCTGAGCCATCTCTCCAGCCCCTAGAAGTTGGTTTTTTTTTTCATTGTTTTTATTGAGCTATACATTTTTGTCTGCTCCCCTACCTTCCTCCTCTCCTCCTACCCTCTCCCATGACCCCCATGCTCCCAATTTACTCATTAATGAATTGTTTACTGTGTGTGCATGGGCATGCACACATACTCCATACCGGTGCCACGGCATATGTGCGGAGATTGGAGGACTACTTTGGTGAGTCACTTCTGTCCTTCCACCATGTGAGACCCTGAGCTTAAACTCATGTCATCGAGCCCTGTAGCAAGTGCCTTGCTCTGTGGCATCGTCTCACTGGCCCCAGTCACTCTTTTATTGTTCTTTTTATAGGATTGCTTATTTCACTAATCTTGCTTGGTTAAGCATCACTTAGAGCCTACTCCTTGTCAATTGAGTAGCTGGGCCACAATCTGAGTGTTACACTTGGCTGCGTATTCTCTTTAGGAAGTCTTCAATAAAATTTCTCACAGTCCTTTCAGTTGAAGGCATTCCACATGCGGACAGGGTCTTGATCAAGAGGGTTGGGAATACTGAACAGATACAGACATCAGAACAGGGCAAAGGCAATAGAACAGGAAAGTGAGTACAAGGACAGATGCATGTGTGCATGGAACTGTCCCATCTCTAAGTCAGCAGGGCCAGAATGGTCTGTTGAAGAAGTGGCGCTGGGAAAATGGGTCATCCATTTAGAAAAACATAAAACTAGACCCTCCCACACAAACACTGCCACAAAAATAGATTCTTCTTGGACCAAAAACAAACTCTAAAAATATAAGGAGAAAATGTCGGAGAATATTTTTATAACTTTGGGAATACAGAAAGCTTTTTGAGTTGTGAAATAAAGTCTAAAAATCACAGAAGGAAAGATTTGTTAGGTCCAAGTTAACTAGAGGAAAAGTAGTTTGGGGCTGGAGCGATGACTTGATGGTTAAGAGCACATGATGCTCTTCCCAAGGACCTAACTTTGATTCTTGACACCTATATCAGGTGACTCGTAACCACCTGTAACTCCAGCTCCAAGGGATCTTATGCCTCTGTGGCAGACACTTACACTCACATGTACATACCCAAACACATACATGTAAATAAAAATGATAAAATAAAACATTTTTTTTCAAAAAGTATTTTACTTTTCTTTTTTCTCTGGTTTGTCAAGACAGGGTTTCTCTGTGTGACAGTCCTAGCTGTCCTGATACTTGCTTTGTAGACCAGGCTGGTCTCGAACTCACAGAGATCTGCTTGTCTCTGCCTCCC